ATAAATAAACGTTGAAAAAAAAAAAATTAAAAAAAAAAAAAAATGGCAACCTATGGAATGGGAGAAGATATTTGTGAATGTCATATCCAATAAAGGGTTAGTATCCAACATATATAAAGAACTTATACAACTCAACACCCAAAAAACAAATAATCCAAGTAAAAATGGGAAGGCAGGGGCACCTGGGTAGCCCAGTCAGTTAAGTGTCCGACTCTTGGTATCAGCTCAGGTTGTGATCCCACAGTTGTAGCTTCAAGCCCTGCATCGGGCTCCATGCTCAGTGTGGAACCTGCTTGGGATTCTTTCTCTCCCCCTCTCTCTGCCCTCCTCTGCTCGTGGCTCTCTCTCTCTCAAAAATAGATACTAAACCTTTTTAAAAATAATAAAAATGGGAAGACATGGCGGCACCTGGGTGGCTCAGTAGGTTAAGCATCTGACTCTTGGTTTTGGCTCAGGTCAAGATCTCATGGGTTTGTGAGATGGAGCCCTGTGTCAGGCTCTGCACTGACAGTGTGGAGCCTGCTTGGGATTCTCTCTCTCCTCTCTCTACCCCTCCCCTGCTGTTTTCTCTCCCTCTCTCTCTCTGTCTCAAAAATAAACATTTAAAAAAAAATGGGAAGACACTAACAGACATTTCTCCAAAGACATCCAGATGGCCAACAGACACACGAAAAGCAGCTCAACATCACTATCAGGAAGTGCAAATAAACACCACAATAAGATACCACCTCAAACCCTGTCAGAATGGCTAAAATCAAAAAGACAAGAAACAACAAGTGTTGGCAAGTATGCAGAGAAAAAAGAACCATTGTGTACCGTTGGTAGGAATGCAAACTGGTGCAGCCACTGTGGAACACAGTATGGAGGTTCAAAAAATTAAAAATAGACTCACCATATGATCCAGTAATAGTACTACTGGCTATTTACCCACAGAAAATGAAAACACTAATTTAAAAGGACACATCCACCTTTATGTTTATAGCAACATTATTTACAATAGCCAAATTATGGAAACAACCCAAGTGTCCACTGAACGGATAAAGAAGACGTGGTAATATACAATGGAATGTCCTTCAGCCATAAAAAGAATGAAATGTTGCCATTTGCAACAACATGGATAGAGCTAGAGTAGAATGCTAAGCGAAGTAAGTCAGAGAAAGACAAAGACCATGATTTCACCCATATATACAATTTTAAAAAATAAAGGAAAAAAAAGGAAACTGAAAAACTAGAGAACAGATAGTTACCAGAGGGGAGGTGGGGTGGGGAGGGAAGGGGAATGGGTGAAATGAGGGAAGGGGATTAAGAGTACACTTATCTTGACAAGCACTGAAAAATATACAGAATTTTGGAATCACTATATTGTACACCTGAAACTAACACTGTATGTTAACTATGGTGAAATTAAAATAAACTTAAATTAAAAAAATAGGACTTGTTTTTTTATTTAATGGTATAAGAAGGTCCTCAAATATTGATACAAATGTTTAGCTTTTATTTTCAAAATGAATCTACATTGTTACAAATTTGTTCTAGAGTATTTTTATTAGAGTATCCACAAAGAGGCAGATCCACAATGATAGCTTCGAACCCCTTCCTTAGAAGGAGGACTAAAAGGCCTGGGGAGGCCATGTCAGTTACACCAGCAACTTTAGAGATCATTTAATCCAGTGGCTCCCAAGGACCCATTAATTTTCCATGATAAATTCAGTATTTTAGAAATTTTCTTACCAAACACCTTTCCATTTAGAACTTCCAATGTGATTAGCATGAGCTTGGCCAAACCAGAAAAAAAACCACGCCATGGCTAGCGGGTGCAGCCCATTAGAACGAATGGTGGGGTCCCCACTAAGCAGGTGGAAGTTTTGAAAGCAGCCGCACCACTGACTTCACAGAAGCAGTATAATGTAGGCCCACAGGTGGTCCCACAGATAAGAACGCACTGATGTAGTCAAAGTCCCTCCCCTTCGGGATGAGGCAGAGGCAGGAAGAGGTAAAATGACACGCTCAAAAGCCCAGAGCTACTCAAAGCACGCAGACTCCTCCCTCGGTCGCGCTGCTAACGTGCTACTGTGCCGTGTGGGGCCGGCCCTTCCACTCTCGTGTTCACTGCCTGTGTCGAGAAGCGGTGTGAAGACTGGAAGGAAGGTGCACGCCACAGAAATAAAACATAAAGGGGGAAGAGAAATTTTAAAATAATTTTTTTTTTAATTTTGCACTCAGTGGACAGAAGTATAGCTTTGGCTTCCGTGAGTGCTACTGGTGCTTAGCAATTGCTCTGTTCCCTGGCTATTACACCTTGCCCCTGGTCAGTGCCAACGAACAGGGGGAAAAAACAGGATTTTATTCCTTTTTTTCCCCTCCAAATTATGGGACGTTTTCCCCACCCTAACACAGCAAAATCATTCAGGTTCGGATCTGATCAAATCACAGATGAGGTAGGAGGCCATGCTATGCTAGGATTCAATTCCTGGGTCCTGAGAGCAGCAGCTATTGACCTCTGCCTTTATTCTTGCCTTAAGGAATGTTCTCAAATAACTATCTGTAACCCGAAAGGCTCTTTTTTTTCACCCAGGATGCTGCACCACAAGCCATGATTTGGAGAACACCGTGTTCAGTATTGAGAGTATTGAATGAACAAAAACAACATCAAAAAAAGGAATCAAGGTTTCTTTTCTAGGGTAGCTCCAGAAGACCGAATAGGTTCTAGGATGGAGATTGCAAGCAGGCACCATCAACAAAATGCAACAAATTCAGTAAGTGGTGTTCCACTGTATACACTGCGGCTCTAGGTGAGATCCACTACAGTTGGAAGGGAGGGGGTGCATCCTCTGTCATACACAGCCTCTAAAGGAATGCCGGGATGGTTATGTGCAGGACCTTATGCTGAGAGTTCATAGGCTGGGAAAGAGCTGGACTATAAAGGTACTATGAATAGATGAGAGATCCTTCCATCCATCTAGACCCTGGGATCCAGGAAATAGCACACTAGTACACAGGACTTCATGCAGTCCTCTACTGCACAGACACCGACGCAGGGGGGAGGCCAAGGAAATCACATTTGAGTGCCTGGGTGCCCACCAGTGGACTAGGTGCTGTACCATCACACACACCCAACCCAGGCAGGGAGCCTACACCCTAGCACTCATGTCCTACGGGGCACTTTGGTGGGAGGTGAGCAGTCCCCTCCTTCATGTGCATTGTGCACGCCCACCTTGAACTGGATCACTTTCCCAACGTTCTTGAACTCGGGAAGCACGTCATCATAGAAGTCCAGGAACTGCTGGTAGGTTTCCTCTTCACTGTACTCTAGGCTTGCATCAGGGTCATAGTCGTCCCTTCTGCACTGCTCCATCCCAAATGTCGTAAACATGCTTTTAATCAGAAGTGTGGGACTCGAGGATGGGAAATTGTGTTTACGTGAGCACCTGCATACGAAAGGGAGACTTAAATGCAGCAGTCCAATAGTTACAGTATCAAAAGCTCACTTTAAACTTTGGGATAGAGACCCAAATAACTTGGTTGTTTCCACTTACTTGCAAGATAATAAGCCCTATCCAGATGTCCAATTTCAACACCTAAACTGTTCTAAGACTGACCAATATACTTGCTTTCATGAAGATGTAAAGTTGGGAATTATTTCCAAGTTCATATGCCATTCAGCTGCCTTTTGGTGATGCTCACAAAGCCTCCTACATGTAAAAGTGCAGGGAAAAAAAGGTCCACTGCCATGACAGATTGTGGTGACAGCATGAAGATACCGGATGTGGAACTCAGGAGGAAGGTGAGAACAATACGATCCTGGTTCCATACAATCTTCAACTAACTCCATGCTTAGAGAATATAATCTAAGAGTTTCGAGCTAACGGAATACTTCAATTTCACATGTGTATAGCATTTCATGGTTTCTGTGGCATTTTTATATTTATTCTGCTGATCCTTGCAACCCATTAGGACAGTCAGGGCCAGTATTTTCCCCACTTTGCAAAGAGGGAAGCTGAGGCCTAGAGAAGCATACTTATCCAAGTCACATGGCTGGTAAGAGAGGATTCAAGAGATCTGAGTTCACCTGTCTAATGCCTGTTCATTATATGGTGTGATGAATGCAATTAGTTTTCATGTAATAAAGAGGGTAACCATTATGAAGAACATTTTTCTTTTCACAGTTTAAACTGAATCATGTTATACCTGAATATTTTAAGTCTTTTATATGAGTTTACTTTATTTACTTCCTTCTCCAAAAATGAGGGGCAAAAAATGTAGTTCACGGTTCTAAACCATCAAATTTTCCTGATTAGATTTCTATTAAAAAATTGGTTGAGGCAAAATTTTCAAGAAAAAAAAAATCCCCACAACTTAGGAAGAAAAAAAGCTGAAGAAAAAGGCAAGTGTTAGAAAAATCAATGGCCTTGAAATGCCTAAATGTTGAACTCCTACTCACTTTCCACATCTGTAATACATCTGTGCACCGAGAGAGACAATGCATACAAAGTGCCTCCCATACATCATACCCAGTACAGAGATGCACAGTGTCCATTAATGTGAAATGTACAAAGGACCCTCCTATATAGATTCAGTTAGAAACCTTGTGATGAGATCCATCTTCCCAAGTAGAGCTACCAGCAATACAGAGAGTGAAACCTCAACCTGACTACAAGTGTTGGTGGTGAATCAGAATTTTCCAAGTACGAAGCACATACAGACTTCAACAAGAAACCAATTTAACAAGGTTAAAATTCTGCTCATGGGATTATTACATCTGAATGAACTTGGCTCTAATTCCCAGGGTGTCAAATGAGCATTTGAGTTTTGGAACAGAGCCAAAGTCCCTGTCTAGGGAAAATTCCCACTTGGCCTGGAGACAGTCCATACAATCGGAGTTCATTCGGGGCCAGCCCTAAAGCGCCTACTGAGAAGTCCTCTCAGACAAGAGAGATCTGGGAAGGCAATCTAAAGGTGTGGTACCAAACCTGTGTGACTCCCAGAATCACTGGAAGGAACGGAGATTTCTCAGGTTCTGTTCCAGACCATCTGTTAAGAGCTCAGGGTGGGAAACCCACATTTTCACAGTAACTCTCCCCACCTGATACTGAAGGTCAGCCATGTTTGCGAAGCCATGGTTTAGGCTTATCATGCAGTTAGTTGAGTAGAGAGTAAGATTGCCACGAAATCACATAATAAGACATTACCCTAGCCCAAGGTCGGCCCGTGAACCATATGGTCTCCAGATGCCCCCTCAGGTATAGCCCACTGACTACACCTCTTTTTCTCTTCCTGAGGGGGCACTCAAGGTCCCCACTACCTTTGTCCTCCACAGAACCAAGTTACATCCTGAAATTAGGCTGCAACCATTTATTGAAGGTCTCTGTAAGAAACATTTTTGGGAGGGGCACCTGGGTGGTTCAGTCAGTTAAGCGTCCAACTTCGGCCCAGGTCATGATCTCACAGTTTGTGAGTTTGAGCCCCACGTCGGGCGCTGTGCTGACAAGTCGGAGCCTGGAGCCTGGTTCCAATTCTGTGTCTCCCTCTCTCTCTGCCTCTCCCCCACTCATGCTCTTTCTCTCAAAAATAAACACGAAAAAAAATTAAAAAAAAAAAAAGAAACATTTTTGGGAAAATTTTGTAAGCAGCTGTTAATAAAACATCTATCAAAGTGTCCATCTCCTTACTCCGGGTCTTTACGCAGTATTCCATGGGAGAAACATGTAGAATCTGATGCCTGGAAAATCTCTGTCTTTCCGGAGATACCACTCATTCTTCCTTTTTGGTAAGAACTAAGTGAGCCATTATCTGCCCAGGCTATGTTACAATCCAGGGCCAAATGTACCGCCCATTCACAATAGGTCACTTTCTCCTCCCTTCCTTGTTCTCCATTTCTCTGGGTAAACTTAGTGCAGTAGATTACGAGCCCTCTTTAAATCACTCCTGGAAATCAGTGAATTATAAATATTCTGATAAATAAGTTTTACTTTTCATCAGCAATTATGTTTTCAGGAGGAAAAAAAATAGAACTCCCCTCAAAGCTGTGACTCCAAGAAGTATCAATTCCAGAAAGGTTCTAGAATTGAACTGTGTACTAATTACGAAAACAAAACCACCGAAGAAATGCTTGGGTTATGGAAGTGTCTGTCTGATAATGGGACAAGCCTCAACAGCAAAGAATGGTTGTGTGAGTCTGGAGCAAGTCACCGCAGCCCTTTGTCGAAGAGGAACAGCTTCATTGTCTGAAGGGATGGCGCTGGATTTCAAAATTGCTCATTGCATAGAATCTGATTTCATAATTCATCACTGGAATGATGAAAGTACCCAAATGTTCCCAATTTCACGTGCCAAGGAAAATACTAAGAAATGTTCACAAACTAATCTGATCACTGCCAATTATCTCCTTGAAACGATTCTCAGGGCAGGGTTTTGAGAGCCTGACAGTCCGCTCTCCTTTCGGCAAACAAGTACTGCTGGCTGATTGCCTGAAATCATTTAGGCCATCTCCCCTTCTCTCATTTCTGCCCATCGAAAGGAAAATTTAGAATCACATGAGCACAGTCTTCAAATTCAAGGAAATGCTAGAGATACATCATAAACGAGAAGTCCTTCAGCTAGAAAACTTTAAACGCAATCTGGTTCGGCTACCCACACAAATGTGAATGTGTATCGAGGCTCAACAGTTCTCTTTGGTGGGGGGTGTTTAACATCAATTATGACTATTTCTTGATGAAATTAAGTAAATTTCAGGAAACACTTCTGAAGGTACAAAGGGGAATAAAGTCTCTTCTCCTTTCCCTAGTTCCCAGTTCCTCAAGAGGATGCTTCCAGTACTGACCGCATCCTGTGAGCCCTTTCACAGATATTGTAGGTTTACACAAGCTCAGCTCTAAATTGTAAATGGAGCCACGTGTCCTATGTTAGTGGCTCTCAATCCCAGGGCGCATGAGAAATGTCTGAGGGCCTTTCAACAGTAAGGCTGCCCAAGTCTCACAGATTTACTCAACTTTAGGTAGGACACAAACTTTTTAAAGCTTTCTAGAGGATTCTAACGTGCACCTGGATTGAGAACCATTGCTCTTAAAAAATGTAAAAGGGCATGAGGGCTTAAATGAGAAATGAAAAATAAAAAATAAGAGAAAGTTCATATTTTCAAAGAAGGAAATGAAACTCATGGCATGGATAATTTTATGAATCAAGTGAGCAACAACATAAAGTTTTCTCATTAAATACATATGAATTTGCTTATTCATATCCCTTTTGGGATTAACAGGACACTAAGAAATGATTAGATCTCTTCTGCCGAATGCTTAGTAATGATCAGATTTTTGTCTTGGATAGATTAATTCACCATTATGAATTATTTATCTACTTTGAGTTGTTCATTCATAAATAAGCCAAATTATAAAAATCATCAACGCCTGGCATATACCATTTAAATATCTGCTAAATGAATGAAGACACCGACACTTAGTTTTCCACATGAATGTCCTGTTTCAAAAACACTGAGCCACAAGAGGCGGAACTGAGTGTCTCAGAGAATGAGGGCAACCAGAACACAATGAAAGTAGCAGCAAACACTCAAGACAGTGTTTGCCATGTGCCCACCACGGTCCTCTGTGCTCTCCCTGCACGCGCTCCCCGCAGCCTCACAACTGCCTCCCTTGGAAGGGAGATATACCATTTTTAATCCCCACTTTAGAAATGAGGAAGCTAAGGCACAGAAAGTTTAAGTAACTTTCTCTCTCTCTTTTTTTTTTCTTAAGTAACTTTCTCAAAGTGACAGCTGCTGAAGTCAGTTTCTGCACCCAGGGTCTGTTCCTCCGTCAGAACAGACAGACTGAGAATGGAGAATTACAATACCTTTCCTCACTCCCTCCGGTCCTGTCTTTCACAGATAGCCCTCTGGGCATGCCAATTTTTTAAATTTAAATTTTAAACTTTCATTAATTAACTTATTATTTTTTTGAGGCATGCCAATTTTTTAAAGCCTCTTTTGCGCACAGTGTCGGCCATTCAAAAAAAGAAAGCCAAGCTACTCCAGCGTATTGAGCTACATCATTTCCCCATCCAAACCGCCCCACGCAGACCCATGCAAGCACAGGAAGAGAACGAGAAGCAAAAGGTCTTCGTGAAGCCGTGGAAGGAGGGCAAAGGAAGCCCGGTCAGAGAACCAGCCTGAGCCCACCCAGGGAACGGGTACAGGAGGAACAGCGGGCTGCAGAAGTGGCAAGAATGCAGCAGGTACCTGATTGCAAACATGTCAAACTCAAGCCTGTGATGCTCCCAAAAAGAGAACTGAAAACCCTCGACATTTCAATTCACGATAAAGCAAAATTAGTTACCTATCTCCAAATCTGCACGCTCCTGTTTTACTGTAGAATGGACAATTAGCTCGGTCTTTCTCCATTATCCGTAAGTCCGTCGGTGGTTCTGGGTTTTGCCATGTGGCACCATTTTCCAACTGTTGAAAATAACCATGACTTTACTGGTGGTGTAAAAATCCACAAAGAACTCAATGTTTCAAACATATCCAAATATTTTGGCCAACAATAAAAAATCGAGTTAAGAATATATACACTTGGGTCATAATACACAACTGAGACTTCACAAACAACTGTCTGGAGACACGCACTGGGTGTTTGTTGGCTCCCACTCACTGCCCACAGCGGGCATCACTGTGGCTACCAGGAGCAGTCGCCAAGGTTTGCCTGCTGCCCATCCATTCTGAACAGGGTCAAAGGACTTGTCAGGGAGCCACCCCTGAGGGAACGTTACGCTGCGCTGTAGCAAATTAAACCGTCTATTTTGGGGAAACAGCGTGTCATGTTGCTCACACACACTTTAAGGAGTATAAATAAGCAACATCCACAGGGCTGATTTGATACCATTTGCTTTTGTTTGTCAGGAAACTCCTGCCGTTGTTGTCGCTGCCGTAAAAAAGTCACAGAGCCACAAAAGAGATTCCAATATTCAGACATGACCTAAATAGCTTACCACAAAATTAACATTACTAGAACCGTTTTTATAGAAATGTTCACTAGTTTCGAATTCGGAATGGAAGGTTTAAAAATACCTCGTTTTCAGCCTGCTCCAGCATCTTCTGCACAGCTTCCTACAAATGGTGCAAACACAGGACTAATGAAAACGTGCAAGTCAGGAAAGTCACGTCTGGTTTCTCTGGTTAAGAATCTCAAGTGTAACAATTAAAAAAAAAAAAAAACAACCAACAACAAAAACAAACCACACACACAAAAGGCTTCAGGTTCTAGTTTGTTCTCTTCTAGCACAGATCTTCTGAAAAGCCTTCAAAGTACATATGGCTGAGAATGTTTATTCAAATAGGGCATTGAACAGCTCACATGGCAAAACAGTCTTATAAGTTTCAGTAATAGTACCATTTAGCATATTTACTCATATATACCATATTCTAGCTTTTAAGATGAGTGATCTAGTATTAGTGAATATCACAAAATGTGATGCTCAGGTGAAACGTCATCACCACTTAAGAGAGGTTAAATCATGACATGAACAGTAGTAATTCGGGTTGATGACAAAATCTCAAACTTTTTGGTAAGGCAAAGGAAATCCTGCAATATGCCAGTCAATTCTGAGCTCACTGTCACTTAAACACATTTTAAAATCTTCTTGACAGACCTCTCTTCCCCAGCCCCTGAGAGCATGACCTAGAAGACTCATCCGTCTGGCTGCTGGAGAACTCTACCTAGCCACGTGGGGTGCTGGCTTAGTGTGCCCACGGGCACAGCTCTAGCTCTTTCCTATCCCCATCCACCTGGCTGCCCCACACCTGGTAACTGGTGCTGCCATTTGCTGGCTTGTTCCGCCTAACAGCCTAAAAAGTAGAACTGGAATGCCTCTCCTTCTTCCCCTCCCTGTCCAATCTACAAGCTGGAGTCCCAGTGACTCTGCCTCCACACACCCCAAATCTGTGTGATTGATACGAATCTGATATGAAGCACTACCCTCGTTCAAACCACCATCATGTCCGATCTGGAACAGACTGTCTAATCGGTCACTCTATATCCACTGTTGCCTCCTTGGGTCACTGCTCCCTGCTCCTCAGCCCCCCTTCTTTACACAAGGCATCCCATCTGTTGGGATGCCTGGGTGGCTCAGTCGGTTGAGCGTCCTGAGCGTCCGACTTCGGCTCAGGTCATGATCTTGCGCTCCGTGAGTTTGAGCCCCACATCCAGCTCTGTGCTGACAGCTCAGAGCCTGGAGCCTGTTTCAGATTCTGTGTCTCCCTCTTTCTCTGACTCTCCCCCAGTTCATGCTCTGTCTCTCTCTCAAAAATAAATAAACGTTAAAAAAAATTTTTTTAATAAAAAAAATGATCTGTTAAGGGTACAGATATAAATTAAATGAAGTCAAACCCTGCTTAAAAACTGCGCGATGGCTTCCCATGACACTTAACATAAAACCCAAACTCCTCCTCCCAATCCAGGAGGCCTTACATGATCTGACCCTGCCTACGTTCCTGACCTCCTCCCTAGCCCCCACCACTCTCTCCTTTGTTCTCTAAGATTTCAGACACCCTGACATTTTTTCAGCTCCGTGCTCAGGTTCTTCCCTCTGCCTGGATCCCTTCTCCCAAGATCTCTGCATTCAGCTCAAACATCGGCTCCTTAGACAAGTCTTCCTTGATGAGGGCAATCTAAAAAAGTACATTCCGACCTAATCACTATTACATGACTCTGCTTTCTTTCTTTGTAGCACTTACCATTATCTCAAAGCACTTAAAATTATTTTTTGCTTACTTATTATCTAGTTCCCCCATCTAAAACACTCGGGGAGAGCAAGGACTGTCTTTTTCACCATTCTACCTCCATCTACTAGAAAAGTAGCAAGCATACAGCAGAAACACAGATTGCATATCTCTTTATACATGTTTAGAACCTACTTCATTCTACCTGCCTTTCCGTAATGTCTCACCAGGCTTTTTTTCAAACAAAAGCCTTAGTTATTTTTTAAAAGAAGCCGTAGCTTTTATCTGATGCCAGAAAGACCTCAATTGAGAATATTCTACGGTTAAAATGGGAATCGATTACTCTGTAAAATAATGACAAGCTCCCAACTGTTTTCCTGCCCCCTAAAAACCTAGCATGGTCTCATCTGTAACGCAGCTCTCAAATAAGGGTGTTAAAAATCTGCACTGCAATTAACTGAAGGCCTGAGACACAAAAAACAAAGTTCACGGAGGCTGCTTCTACCCTATCACAACTAGGACAAACAAATCCATTTTTCTCCATGATAAGGTGACTACCCATTTTTATGCTATTCAAACTTGGGAATATGATGGAAAAGATACATCCTGATGAGTCAGTCAAGGAATGATGAGCTGTGGGATCTTGGAAATAAATACACAGCATTAAGGAACAGCAGCAAAACACATCAAAGCAATCTTTAAAACATCCTGGAAGATATATACATAGACCTCATACATTTCTTTCTTTAATGAGTGACTACATGTTACCTACAATGACCTTGATAGCCAAGTTGGAAAGGGAGTCAATATTTAGCAACAAAAAATATTTCCTAATTCCTCAATATGTGAGTTTGTGATTTCTTTCAACCAATTCATTCTTGCTGACATGCCATAAGCAGCTAAGTGTCTTATTTACTAAATAAGTGTGGAAACCATACAAAATATTCTCTGAATGAGTCAACCCATATACAACAGAAGCTCAGAAAAACACTTTGGTGTGAATGTGAAGAGCCAGAGCAAAAAAAAACAAAACAAAACAACACTTGCACTAGAGTGATACAAAGTATAAAGCAGGGGCCAGATGCTTGTTTTTAGAAATAGTTTTATTGGAACACAGCCACAACCATTTATTTATATATTATCTCTGGCTGTTTTCATGGCGCACCAACAGAGTTGGATATTTGCAAGAGAGACCATACAAACTACAAAACCTAAAATATTTACTCTCTGGCCTTTACAGAAAAAGTGTGCCAATCCCTGGTATAAAGGGGAAGATGGGTAGTTGCAGGAAAACGTTAATTTAAGGTATCTGCCATTGCAAAGACCCAAAGCAGAGCATCATAAGGCAACTCTAGTGTGTATCTATACAAAACAGGCCTCTTGCTAACCAGGAAAACAAAGTCCAAACCCTGATATGCCTATAGCTTATTCCTCAGCCCCAGCCCAGCCCAGATCTGAGCACTGAGAGGATACGCAGTGCGTTTATCCTCCTGTGACAGGAATCACCTCTCTTTCTCTCTTCTCCTGTAGCTTCTGCTCCTCCTCTTCTCTCTCTTTTCTCTGCTGCTCTTCCCATTCTTCCTTTAACTTTCTCTTTACAGAAAAAAAGAAAAGGAAAGGTAATTCTTCTCACACACTTTTTAAAAACATGTAACGTATGGGGAAGATAAAGTAAAAGCTTTACCACTGGTAAAATGGATAATATCTATTCTTTTAGGTTCAAAACCCGTAACTCTTAATTAGAGTTATTTGGTTAACTAGTTAGCTGGTTATCTGATGAATACCATACCTCTTGTTCTTCCTGTCGTTTTCGAGCTGCCTCCTCCTTTTCTTTCTTTATTCTGAATTCTTCTTGTGCTTTCTGCTCCCGAAGCAACCATGCCTCATGTAATTTTTGCCTATCAATGTAATGATGCAATCAAACAAAAGAAATGAGCATTAATCTACAAATACACCCAATGATAGCAAAATGATGAAGCTATCATGAAAGATATTTTCCAGAAAGCAGGTAAGTGGAAAGTAAGAGGAACAGAAGATATGAGTAGCTATCTTGGAAAAGCACTGCATCTCAGTAGCTCTTTTCCTAGAGGGTGACAGCTGAAAATCACTACGTGCACATTTGATACCTGTGACATCTTTTACATAGAACGATGACGCTACAACTTTCCCTTTAGGTTGACCATTGTGATGTTTAGGTGTCAATAAAGATGCCAAGTTTCGAAGCACCATCTAGCTTTTCCCGTTCCGAGGGTCCTATCCTTTCTCTTCTATGCGTTTTACAAGTAGTGATGGAAGACCACAGCACCATGAAAACCTGCCATCTGCTGCCATAGATCTTTGATGGCTAGTCTAGACAGTTAAGACACTCCTGTGGCTTGCCCCAAGCACCTACACTGCTCGAAGAAGGGAAATAAAACTATACCTGATCTTGTCTTTAAAATAAAGCTACAGGCTTTAAGATGACAAGGAGTTATAAAAATAAATGAGCAGGTGTCTAGTTTATTTTTGAAAATGGCCAATTATATAGAGTGATGTTATCTTAAAATGGCAAGCGTCTCAGACATCCAATAGCACAAGGTTCTAATTGAAAGATAGGTTACATTTCAAAAGTTCAAAAGTCAAGCAGGTGTCTATCTATGTATTTATTTACTTATTTTTAATTTTTATTTTGGAGAGAGGGAGAGAGAGACAAAGCATAAGTAGGGGAGGATCAGAAAGAGAGGGAGACACAGAATCTGAAGCAGGCTCCAGGATCTGAGCTGTCAGCACAGAGCCTGACGCAGGGCTCGAACCCACGAACCATGAGATCATGGCCTGAGCCGAAGTGGGACACTTAACCAACTGAGCCACCCAGGTGCCCCATGGTGTTTAGAACCTAGATTGCCATTTTGCCACTGAATTTGTAAAACAGAAGTGAAATACGAGAAATGGTTCTTCAGCAATGTCAGGAGTTAAATAAGGTTTTATGTCTAGTCTGGGGAACCTATTCACAGTATCAAATACCCTACGGGAAAATAGATTTCATTTCCAAGCACAGATGGTAGGAACACATCTTTTACCCATGGTAAAGATGGGCACACCGCATACATCAACATTCCGGTGCACATTGTAGGTTACATATAGATGTTTCAGTGTGTAGGACTCTAATTTATGAATCTTTTGAGGAATATATTAATTGTATACCAACCAAAAAAACAAAGTGCATATAAATCTAAGACCTCAAAAGAGTAAAATGGCAAAACTTTACAGTTTAGCAACTTGAATACAGTGTTGAGAACTAGGACTGCAGAGCTCTGGTCACTTAAGTACATCAAGTCCCTGCCCCGGGAAGCCTGGAGCAGATTCTAGCACGGCTTGCCGCAGTGGAAGGCTTGTCCTTAGACTGACCCCCAGAAACCCCACCCCCACCCCCGCAAAAATGCCTGCCTGAGAAAGCTCAACACTGCCAGGAAAATGGAGCATTTGCTGTAGCCAACACAGGATGATCGGCCCTTGCCCTCCCTTAGAGCATTTACTAAAAAGGGCTTATGACTGTGAATAGGTCTCTCTCCAGGACCTGAGAGCCATTCGCTGGACATGCAGTCTTTAAGAAGGATAAGGCCTCTGTGTCCCAGCCTCTGTGAGAGGACAGACTCCTGAATTCTCTGCCTGCCTGCTGACAAACGCAGCTGGCCTGGTCACATTTACACTGACTGACCCTTTGTACTTCTTCACCTCTTGAATTCTCCTGAGCCCCTATACTCCTCCCGCTCTCTCCCTTTAGAAGGCGCAAATCTCCCCTGCACAAATCAGAATGGAGCTCAGCTCTTTCCCCTACAGTCAGGAGAAACGGGACACAATCTGTTCTCACCACTTTCAAGTCTGCCCGTGTTATTCTCTGATGCTATACATCTGCGTTAAGGCAGTACATAAAGCCATACGGTACTGCCAGAGAATTAGTTCTCTTGTTTTTCAACAACACAGTATCATGCAACTTGTACAGGAACCAAAAAACACCAAAGGAACACAAATATCTGTTTATGTGATTTAAAAGCAGCGCCTCAAATAAATGGGAAAACAAAAAAGTGACTTCCCTATATCATACCATGTATATCATCTTCATCGTAAGAGGAATCTAAAACAAGCAGAGTTATTACAGCACCGCCCATCTGCTAACATGATGGTAAGCATATACACCTGCCGACTCATTCCGTCGCCCTAATTCTATGAGGTGGGTACTATGATTGATTTTATTTCCATTTTATCTCCAGATTTAAGACGAGGAAATTGAAGTTAGAGAGATAAGCAACTGGAACACAGCATGTAAGTGGCAGGGCCACGGCTGCAATGCAGCTCTGGCTGAATCGACTCCATGGCCTGCATCACCACTGTATTTTCTCTTGGCATTTTGCTGATTGCACCTATTTATGTGCTTAGGTGGAAAACAGGAACGAACTACATGCAAAGAAGCAACATTCCCTACTAAATACACATAGCTAGAGGGTGTCTATAAAGTTTTCTACTCCTTTTAAAAAACATCTACTTTTTATTGTGGCAAAATATATGTACCATAAAATTTAGGATTTTAACCATTTTTAAGTGTATGGTTGAACAGCATTAAGTACATGCACATTATTCTGCACCACTTGGGAAAAAAAAAAAAAAAAAACTACCCCCTGAAAAATATTGAGGAGAAAATAGAATATGTTCATCATCTTGGGACGGAGTAGGCCTTTTACAGTCCAGACACCAAGGCCAGATATCACGATGAAAGTTGAGGACGTGAAAATCAAACTATGGTGAGTAATGCCATAAGCCAAGTTAGGACTGATGACAAATGAGAAAAACATATATAATACATATGACAGATAAAGGATCAATATCTTTTTTTAAATTTTTCTTTACTTTTTTTTTTAAATTTATTTATGTTGAGAGAGAGAGAGAGCGCGCACACGAGGAGCAGAGAGAGGCAGGGAGAGAGAATGCCAAACTCCGCACTGTCAGCACAGAACCCAATGCGGGGCTCGAACTCATGAACTGTGAGATCATGACCTGAGCCAAGAGTCAGACGCTCAACCAACTGAGCCACCCAGGCGCCCCAACGATTAATAGTAATAATACTGCTTACACAACAAACTTTAAAAACATGTATCCCAAAAAAGAAAGGTGCAAGACTTAATCTAAAATAGGTAATAAAATATATTAAAAAATACACAGGCTTACTAATTAAGAAATGTATATTTGAAACAATGAAATACAACTTTTACGACAGGAGGTTTAAAAATAGATGCCTAGTGTGAGTGAAGGTATGGGGAAATGGGCACCTCGATTCACAGCTCGAAGGGCTGCATACTGGGATGCCCTTTCTACCCAACCACCTACACTTTACCTGTACTTATCCTTTGATCCCAACAATTCCGTTTCTAGGCATTTTCCTGAGTAAAAAACAGGACAATTACCAATGATACATAAGCGTGGATACTCATGGCAACTTTTTACTGAATTATAAAAAATACCTAAGTATAATTAATAAATAATAGGAAATTCATAGTAAATAATAAGTGAACGTTATTTAATAGCAAATAACCTAAACGTCCATCAGTAGAGAACTATAAATTATGAATAAAGAATTATGCCACATTCAAACAATGGACACTATGTTGCCACTGAAACTGTTGAATCGGGTATGTGAATCAACACTGAAATATAGGTCCTGGGGCGCCTGGGTGGCTCTGTTGGTTAAGCGTCCAACTTCAGCTCAGGTCATGATCTCGAAGTCCATGAGTCTGAGCCCTGCTTTGGGCTCCGTGCTGACAGCTTGGAGCCTGGAGCCTGCTTCAGATTCTGGGTCTCCTCTCTCTGCCCCTCCCTGCTCATGCTGTCTCTGTCTCTCAAAAATGACTAAACATTAAAAAAAAAATTTGAAATATAGGTCCTATATTTTATTCAAAAAAAGCAATTTAAAAAATGCATAAATATCCTCCCATTATAGAAATAAACATGTATAGTACATTTACACGCTTAAATTTTTTTTTTTTAGAGAGAGAGAGAGAGAGAGAGCACAAGCAGGGGAGACAGAGGAAGAGAGACAGTGAATCTTAAGCAGACTGCACACTCAGTGCAGAGCTCAAAATGGCCATTTTTTTAATTGAAAAAAAAATTTGTTTTTAACGTTTATTCATTTTTGAGACCCAGAGCATGAGTGGGGGAGGGGCAGAGACAGAGGGAGACACAGAATCCAAAGCAGGCTCCAGGCTCTGGGCTGTCAGCACAGAGCCCGGTGCATGGCTCGAACCCACAGACCACGAGATCATGACTTAAGCCGAAGTCAGACACTTAACTGAATGAGCCATTCAGGTGCTCCCCCGACCCCCACTTACATTTTTAATGGTGGCTATCTTTGGGTGTGCTGATTTCATTGAAGCCCTTTCACTTTTTTACACTTATTTCAATTTCTCTTTCAAAAACATTTATAAATTAGCAAAAATAGTGAAAAATACTTCCATTTAAGAAAAATGAGAACATCTAACTTTAGTCTGTCAAGTAGAGATTTAAATAGTTTATCCAAGGTATTTTATAAGACCTATGCTGTATAAGATATTATAAAGACCTGTACTAGTTCATAAAGACTTATAAAATTCAAATAAAACAACTGGGTTCATGAGGAAGTGCTCCGATCACTGCTGACCTCTCTATCTCCAACAGCATCTCTTCTTCTAGGTGTTGTTCTTCAATAAAAGCATCCTCCTCCTCCTTCTGTGAGAGTCCTAAGGGAATTTAAATGTTTTATTAAACGATCTGAATATTGTAAAACCTTGGTCAATGATTCAGAAAGAAAAAAGAAAAAAGATAAAAGCTAATCTTTACAATTATGGTACGAACCTGTTTTTAAAGCCTTCTAATAATAAAGGGTCTAACAATAAAGGCTTCAACCAAATGTGTAACAATTTTGATACCCAAAAAGAACAATAATGGTAGATAACACATTAAATTTAAAAAATTAATTGATGCTTCCATCGTCATGCTCAAAAAGGAGGTGGGGTGTGAGAAGGAACATTCATTTTTACAGAAAAACGGCAACGAAAAAAATGTAGAAAGGCCGTCATTTTTGCAACCCCCACTTAAGAACTATTTAGAAAAAAATGCTAGAAACATTGGATGAAAGCTTGTTGGCAAGAAATTTATTTACCCCACCTCAAAACCTGAGCGCACGGACGAGTACTAATTCCAAAGGGGGAATACCCTTTTCCGTGGAGCCATCTGATTGGTGACACTTTGACCGCTCCTAGCGTTACTAAGAGCAAAACAATGTGACATCACAGGCCCCCTGAGGTGTGCAATGACAGGTATACAGCATCGGCTTTGTAGTACTTGTCACAAGGAGTATAACTGTAAGCTAATCAGAAGATAGGCTAATCCAGAAGTCTGGGTGTTCCACCAGACAACTACTGTGGGCTTTGCACAATAATCAGTCTTGGTTTGGGAAAGTTCCAGTATGGCCTATATATCACAACTGAGGTATTGTTCCTTTACTTGGCTGCAAGTTTGATATTGTGGTCTTTATTCTTAGGAGATGCAGGATGAAGTATTTAGGGATGAGAAGTCATGGTATCTGCAAATGACATGCAAAGAGTTCAGAAAAAAATGTGTACATATGTATCCATATATATCAAGAGAAAGTAAGGCAAATTGTTCACAATTGGGAGATCTAGATGAAGGGTTGGTGGATGTTTATTGCACCATTTTTTCAACTTTCTATACACTGGACCATTTCAAAATAAGAACGTAGGAAAGTATTTTTAATATAAAATCTTGTATCCTTTCCTAGTCATAATTTAAATTTGAGAAAAAAGGAAGAAAACTGAAGTGATCCTAAGGAAATATAACAGAAGATCTCAGACTTAAAGGAAAAAGATTTTGTATCTGCCACATATATGTTGAGTACAGGTCTAATCAAAGGCACACCCAGTCCTAGATAATTTACTTAAGTGACTAAACATTATTATTTTAGCACCTGAAATTAAAATAGGTAAAAAAAAAAAATTAGGGTAAATCCTAACTCACACAGAATAAAATCTAATTATTCAGATCATTAAATGATCTAATTTACAGAGACGGCCTTCCAAAGAACCTGGCAATGGGGCTGATTGATTGACTTACAGAGGTATTCCCATAGAGTAGACATTGCCCGGGTACAGATGATGCTCAAAAACATGTTGCCTGACTCACTCAACCCCTCCATCCTCTCAAAATCAAGCTCATACTCCTCAGAGGTGATCACTAACAGTACGAGGTATAGCATTTGCTCTATACGTACAATCAAATATATGTAAGGATATATATAAGTATAGTATATCTAACCGTATTATACATATAACTGTACATATTGGAATCAGACAACTTGCTTTTTATTCTTAATGTCACCTTGGTTTCTGAGAAGGCAGCTCATTTCAGGCTATTTCAAGTAGAACTGGATGCTAAAGAGGCTTCTTGTAAATGAGCGGTCAATATTCCAGAAATTTCTACCACTCAGTTTCCAACGCACTCTTATAGAATATCTCTTCTAGCTTACTGGGTATTGTTTGCCCATCTGACATGTGCTACAATTAATAGCAGTGTTTGGTAGGCCACACTATTCATGAAGCACCACTAAGAATTAGGAGTTGGAGTGGGCCAAAATTGGGGCAGTAGTCCAAAGACAAGTGCTTAGTCTTGGATCTGCCATTAGCTATACAATCCTGACCAAACCAGTGACTGCATCCTTCAACTGACTGAACTGCCAAGGGACATGACCAGCTTGCTTCTCCACAAAGGCTCACTCTGAAAGCACTTTGCAAAGTCAAAGGGGGCGGGGGTGGGGGTGGGGGGGTGGGGGTGGGGAATCAACACAATACAAACAGGTCTAGGATTTAAAACAGGGAAGATTAACAAGTTAAAAAAAAAAAAAGTTACGTTGGAAGAAAACAGGTTAAGTACACAAAGTACTGTAGCTGAGATCCTTAAGGGGAATGAGGGTGGGGCAGACACCAAGGACATCAATAACTGCAACCTGCCCTGTTTTTTCTTTTTATCCCTGAAGCTTTATCCTGCGTTTAGTGGTTCAGTGTCCAATGAGTAAAAGAGAGACACTAACACAGGCCCCAGGTAAACACACCACTCTTCCCATTTTAAATATTCCAAGTATTGCTACTAAAATAATTACCGGGCAACTCCAAGAGTAAATGAAATGTCTATAACTATGTTTCCCAAGGCCAGAGAATCTTGGTTACTTGAGGCCATTGCGGTGGACTGCAAGAAGTGTCTAGATACATTTGTGCAATGTATCCAAATATCAAACCATTACATTGTATCCATAAAACTAATGCAGAGACGACTATAACTCAAAAGAAAGAGAGAGAGAGAGAGAGAGAGAATTGTCTGAATAATCGGGGTGGCAACCCTAACACAGTACTGTGTTGCTTCAGTGCTTCCATCAGCGTCTATAATGACTATGTAACTTTTAAAACTGCGTTAGTACTAATTTCATTGTATTAAGCAGGCAGGTTTAATATATAAATGTTAGATTCTGCCATGTGAAGGACAAATGACACCACAGCCAGTACAGACGAAGGTGCCACAGTATTTTAATAGGAATAAAAAAAACTGCTAAATAACCACAGGGCAACACTAGCAGTGGCATTCCAAAGTCCAATCAGTACGATAATCATGCTTGTAAGCTTGCTTCACATCATCCCTAACATTACATTCACGTAGATTTGAATTTTACTGGATGTGTAATTTCACTTGGTTTGGTAATCTGTAAAGACATTGCTTTCTGGTCAGAGTTTCGTATCCAGTTTTGCGCTTAGATACATTTAAATGACAATAATAATCGGAGCCCACAAAGGGTCTCTTGCGTTACTCGAGAAACGGTGAGGAAACTTGTGCAAAAGGTCTAAACCCCTCGAGCCCTGCTGGTTTTACAAAGGGAAACATTCACCGAATACTTACTATGTGCAAGGGCTGTGCTAGCTGCTGTAATTCATGATGCCTGCACCTGTAATACCGGATACTTCATAAATACTTACACACGACGAGGGGCGATTCACCATGACCTGTCCCCCCCTTTTTAGTACGTTAACAGCATTTCGGAAGTAGGTCTAATCTAACGGCACCCGGGAGGCAGGGGCCGCAGTAATTTTTCAGCGCGTACAATACTTGGCTTCCTTCTGGCACGGGGGCTTCAAGTCAGGACGGGAGCGGAGACAGCAATTTCTGACACACAAAACGGGCTGGGGAAATTACCTGAATCTCTCAATCGAGCGAGTTCCTGCCGCCGTTTCTTTCGTTTCTCCTTCTTCAGGGCGGCTCTGAACTTTTTGTGACTGGAAGATTGAGACACGCACACGCCAGCATCACTTGACCGCACCTGCGGCGCTGCCGGAGTTTTCCGCTCCCCCCCCCCC